ACCAACCTGGACTGGTAGAGGTTTTGAAAGGGGATAAGGGGTTGGGACTCCCGTAATGCCCACAGCAGATATGGTTTTTTCGGAGCAGGGAACCTCAGGCAGGTCGGCAGTACGAACTGCAGAGAGCGAAGCTCCCGTATCAACAAGGAAAGGGAGAGAAAGATCATTAATAGTCAAAACACATTCACCTGTGGGAGTGAGAGGTAGTAAAGGAGCTAAAATTTCCTGAGGTTCCCTGGTGTTCTGTCATTGCTGTGAGACAAAGTAAGTCTGGGGACTGTCGGGCTGTGCCGACAGGGGGTCTAGCTGGTTGTTTACAGAGCTATTAGGCCGGCGCGGACACTCGTTTTTCCAATGTCCGGGTTGTTTACAGTAATTACAAACACCCCCAAAACCCGAAAATCCAGTTCCACGGCCCCTCCCGTGACCACGTTCCCCTCCCTGGTACTATTTACCTTGCCCTGAATAATGCTGTATTTGCAGGGCCATTAACTTTTGGGAAGATTGTTCCTCCTTTCCCTTTAGAGTGCGATGGCAGTGTTCTGCCACTGATTGCAATTTATCCATGGTTTTAGTTTCCCACCCAACACTTATTCGCTTTAGCATACCGCCAATAGCAGGTAGGAGGCCATTAACAAACGCATGAGCCAGGGCGCCCTTCCCATTTTCACCCGGTTGCTGTATACCAGAATGTTGCAGAAAAACATCAGTCAGTCAGGTGCGATAGTCACCCGGACTTTCTCCCTGTCGCTGTTTACAGCAATGTATGGCTGTCCAGTTTGTTTTTGGAGTCCATACTCGAGGGATGGCCTCATGTAGGTTTTTAGCTCGGTCTTTACAATTTTTCCGGTATTCAGCATCAGGACCGGTGTCTGGTAAAGTTGAATGGCGCTCGCTGATGGGCCAGTTGGCTGCTGTGAGCCATTTTTCATGCTCGCTAGGGGTTACAGGTAGCTTGCACAGCTGCAGGAGGTCTGCCTCAGAGGGTTCATAGGTGTCGCACACTAACAAAAATTCCTCTGCAAATGTTGTAGGATTTTCCAGGGGCTTTGGAAAACCTTTTACAATTGAAAGGAGCTCTGTACGAGTCCAGGGTTTATAGCTCCAAGTGGGACCCTCTTGTAGGCCCCCAGTATGCAGGATTCGGAGGGGAGCCTGGATAGGTTTAGAGCCAGAGCATAAGCGTTGGGCCCAATCAGTGTCCAGGCTATCTTCGTATGTATGGGGAAAAACAGAGGAGTCAGGCAGACTGGAGGGTTTCGGGGGAACGGGGTTTTTTTTTTTTTTTTACGGGTCTGAGTGGTACCGGAGGAATGGGCCTGGGCGGTATTGGACGATCCGGACTGGTCTGAACTGGAGACCCTTGGGAGTTGTTGTGACTGCCTATTGATCTGATGCAAGGATGCCAGGCCAATTAATGCATCTTCCTCATCGTCATCCCCAGAATTTAACAAGAGGTTTTCTTCGTCCTTTCCCACAATGAGATGGGAGTATGAAGGGGGATGGGATCGATCCTGATCTTTTCGGAGAACGGGATAAAGGGGAGCGCTCAGTCTGGCAGTGGGAGAGGAGGTTTCTAATAAAGCTTTTAACTTATCATTTGAATCCTGGACAGAGGCAAGTTTTGATTCTGTCCACCTATGATTTGCCTCTTCCCACCACTGCATGAAACAATCTACCTCTCCTTTTGCCAATTTAGTTTTAGGTTGGCCGAGTTTGTCTTTTAAGATGTCTACTCGGTCTTTGTCCCAAGATCCTAACAGTGGCCACTAAATTCTGGGATTCTCCTGAGTTAGCCTAGACCATTTTTCCAGAAATTTACAGGAGTCCGGACCCTTCCTAAAATACATAAAATGAGCCGGTGTTCCTTTAGTGAACTGTCCCGACTTAGACATCTGGTTACCCATACGGGAGGACTTTACACACCAATCACACAAGAAGGAAAGTCGGGTTTGTCAGAGCGATGCCCACTGCAACACACAAAAGGAGCCCACAGGCTACTGCCTCAATCGCCCTTGCTTTCACACCAAGGGTTTTACCCAAGGTGCAGTGCGGCTGCGATTGTGCAGATTTCACTCACTCAGACCATGGGGACAGGAACCCTTTGGTCAGCCGATCCCTGGACGGAGACGGCGCCCAGACTCAAACACACCACAGGGAGGACGGATAGACACAGAGACAAGACAGTCCTCAGTCCGGACAAAACACAGTAATAATTACCTGACCAGATTCCTGATGTCAGATCCCAGGATCCCTACCAGAACAGAGTGGGAACCAACTGGTTCGATGGCGTAGACTTCACTGTGGTCATGCACCCTTCCGTTCTGGCGGAGGACCGCTCGGGCCAAATGCCCAGGTGCTGGCTTGCCACAGCCGTCCTAAGAACGGTCAGGAGTCACACGGCCCCAGTGAAGACGGTTGCCATCTCGGTGGGACCTCCAAATTGTCAAAGTCAGATTCAAGACTCACTGAATTTGTCAGACCACTCTGTTTATTAGCAAAGCGCTTTGCCAATGCACCCAGATATATGTGAACCTTCTGCAAAAAGCTCAAGCCAACCCATTTATACAGACAAGCCAAAGCCAATCCAACATAGGAGACAAAAGGAAGCAGAAACTGACAAATATACATACACATCTTATTTGCATACTAATGTTTACCAATCTCCTAGCTCAGTAGGAGCTCTAAGTTAATTAGTTTGAGGACCCATTGTCTCACACTCCTTAATGTTTCTCTTCCTGACAACTATATTTCAACAAATCTTTCAAGCAGCATTTCTTTAATGAATTATAATTTCAATATAATTCATTCTACTTTCACAAATCCTAGAATAAGTAAACATGGGTGCAACTAACTATGGGCCCAAATGTGAAGTCCTCATTCAATAGGAGTGAAGTCCTGGTCCTACTGAAGTCAATTGGACTTTTGTCATTGACTTCAATGGAGCTAGAATTTCACCCTTTGTATTTAGTTCTTACTTAGATAAAACTTCTGTTCAGATAAGAACTTCAGAATTTAGCCCATTGTAAACAGAAATCACCATCCTCTTAAGCTGTAGCTGTGTTTCTCAGGGCTGTGAAAAATGTTGAGCCCTAAATGTCATGGTTAGGTCGAACTGGCCCCCGGTGCAGACGCAGCTAGGTTGACGGAAGAATTCTTCCGTCAACCTATCTGCCATCTCTCAGGCCATGTCTACACTATGAAAGTACTCCAAAGTTACAGAAGTTGATTTTTGGGAACAGATTGTATAAAGTCGAGTGCATGCGTCCACACTAAGCCCATTAATTCGGCGGTGTGCGTCCACAGTACTGTGGCAAGCGTCAACATTCCGAGCGGTGCACTGTGGGTAGCTATCCCACAGTTCCCGCAGTCCCCGCTGCCCACTGGAATTCTGGGCTGAGCTCCCAGTGCCTGATGGGGCCAAAAATTTGTCACGGGTGGTTATGGGTAAATGTCGTCAGTCAACCCTCCCTCCCTCCGTGAAAGCAATGGCAGACAATCATTTTGCGCCCTTTTCCCTGGATTGCCCAAGCAGACACCATAGCATGGCAAGCATGGAGCCCGTTCAGCTCACTGCAGCAGTTATGACCATTGTAAACACCTTGCGCATTATCGTGCAGTTTATGCAGAACCAGCACCTGAAAAACCAGGTGAGGAGGCGACGGCAGCGCGATGATAAGAACATGAACACAGATTTCTCTAAAACCGCGGTCCCCAGCAATTTGGAGATCATGGTGTTACTGGGGCAGGCTCATGCCGTGGAACGCCGATTCTGGGCCTGGGAAACAAGCACAGAGTGGTGGGACGGCATAGTGTTGCAGATTTGGGATGATTCCCAGTGGCTCCGAAATTTTTGCATGCGTAAGGGCACTTTCATGGAACTTTGTGACTTGCTTTCCCCTGCCCTAAAGCACAAGAATACCAAGATGAGAGCAGCCCACACAGTTCACAAGCGAGTGGCAATAGCCCTGTGGAAGCTTGCAACGCCAGACAGCTACCGGTCAGTCGGTAATCAATTTGGAGTGGGCAAATCTACTGTGGGGGTTGCTGTGATACAAGTAGCCAATGCAATCATTGAGCTGCTGCTATGAAAGGTAGTGACTCTGGGAAATGTGCAGGTCATACTAGATGGCTTTGCTGCAATGGGATTCCCTAACTGTGGTGGGGCTATAGATGGAATGCATATCCCTATCTTGGGACCAGAACACCAGGACAGCCAATACATAAACCGCAAGGGGTACTTTTCAACGGTGCTGCAAGCACTGGTGGATCACAAGGGACGTTTCACCAACATCAACGTGGAATGGCCGGGAAAGGTTCATGACGCTTGCGTCTTCAGGAACTCTGGTCTGTTTAAATGGCTGCAGGAAGGGATTTACTTCCCAGACTAGAAAATAACCGTTGGGGATGTTGAAATGCCTATAGTTATCCTTGGGGACCCAGCCTACCCCTTAATGCCCTGGCTCATGAAGCCATATACAGGCACCCTGGACAGTAGCGAGGAGCTGTTCAACTATAGGCTGAACAAGTCCAGAATGGTGGTAGAGTGTGCATTTGGACGTTTAAAGGGTCGCTGGCGCAGTTTACTGACTCGTTCAGACCTCAGCGAAACCAATATTCCCATTGTTATTGCTGCTTGCTGTGTGCTTCACAATCTCTGTGAGAGTAAGGGGGAGACATTTATGGCGGGGTGGGAGGTTGAGGCAAATTGCCTGGCTGCTGAATATGCACAGCCAGACACCAGGGCAGTTAGAAGAGCGCAGCAGGAAGCGCTGTGCATCAGAGAAGCTTTGAAAACCAATTTCATGACTGGCCAGGGTACTGTGTCACACTTCTGTTTGTTTCTCCCTGATGAAAACCCACCCCCTTGGTTGACTCTAAATTCCCTGTAAGCCACCTGCCCTCCCCCCTTCAATCACAGCTTGCTTGCAAAGAAAATAAAGTCACTATCGTTTAAAAAACATGTATTATTTATTAATTGATTATAAAAACAAGGTAGCCCGGGTGGGGTGTGGGAGGAGGGTAGGAGGGAAGGAAAAGGCCACTTTAAAACTTGTTTAATGCCAGCCTTCTCTTGCTTGGGCTGTCCGCTGGGGTGGAGTGGTTGGGTGCCCGGAGGCTCCCCGCCCCCTGCGTTCTTGGGCGTCTGGGTGAGGAGGCTATGGAACTTGGGGAGGAGGGAGGGCAGTTAAACTGGGGCTGCAGCGGCAGTCTGTGATCCTGCTGCTGTTCATGAACCTCCACCAGACTCCGGAGCATGTCTGTTTGATCCTGCAGTAGCCCCAGCGTTGCCTCATGCCTCCTCTGATCTTCCTGCTGCCACCTCTCCTCTCGTTCATTGGCCACTTTCCTGTACTCTACTATTGTGTCCCTCCATACATTCTGCTGAGCTCTGTCAGTGCCGGACGACTGCATGAGCTTGGAGAACATTTCATCGCGCATGCATTTTTGTCGCCGCCTTATCTGAGATAGCCTTTGGGATGGAGGAGGGAGGCTTGAAACATTTGCAGCTGCTGGAGGAAAAAAAGGGAGTGAAGCATTTAAAAAGATACATTTTACAGAACAATGGCTATACACTTGCACGGTGAACAACACTATTCACATTACATAGCACATGTGATTTTGGTACAAGGTTGCATTTTGCATCTTATATGGAGTGCCTGCGGCTTTGGTGTTAGCGATCACACACGCAGTGCCAGGCAACAGAATTCGGCTTGCAGGTGGCAATGGTAAGCCATAGTCTTTTGGCTTCTGCAACCTTCATAACTGCAGTGCCCTCCTCTCCCATACCAAGCAAAGCACGTTGAGTTGGCCATTTAGTGCTACGGTTTACCTGCAGCAGCAGAAACCAAACTAACCCCCCTTTCCCCCCACATCCAATTCTCTGGGATGATTGGTTTACCCCTCACCCCATCGCATGGCTGGTATCAGGGAAGATCCCTGCTAGCCAAAAGCGAACAGCTCAGCGCCAGTGGGGTCCCCCCCCACAGCATGGCTAACTGCGGGGAGGATTTCTTTTCAGTCACAGGCGAACAGCCACCTCTGAATGTCCCCTTAATTAAATTCCCCTATTTCAACCAGGTTACCATAAACGATATAACTCTCCTGAGGATAACACAGAGAGATAAAGAACGGATGTTGATTGAATGCCAGCAAACACCGGGACCATATGCTGTCAGGCTTTGTCATGCAATGATACCAGATTACTTGCTACTAGCATGGCATGGTAAAGTGTCCTACCATGGAGGACAGAAACCTTCTGCAAAGGCTTTTAGAGTACCTCCAGGAGAGCTTCATGGAGATGTCCCTGGAGGATTTCCACTCCATCCCCAGACACGTTAACAGACTTTTCCAGTAGCCGTACTGGCCACAAAAGCATCCCAAGTCCTCAGGGCTACTTAATCATTAAAAAATGCTTGCTTTTATAACATGTATTATATTTAAAAAGGTACACTCACCAGAGGTCCCTTCTCTGGCTTCTTTGTGTTGGGAGGGTATTTCAGTCAGGGTGATAAAAAGATCCTGGCTGTCGGGGAGAATGGTGTGCTGTGTGCTCTCCTCAAGCTCATCTTCCTCCTCATCTTCCCTGTCCACAAAATCCTCAGGCATGGCGGAGAGTACCCCATCATCGAAGTCCACGGACAGGGGTGGGGTAGTGGTGGTAGTGGCCCCCCCTAAAATTGCATGCAGCTCAGTGTAGAAGCGACATGTCTGGGGCTCTGTCCCGGAGCGTCTGTTTGATTCTTTGGTTTTCTGGTACGCTTGTCTGAGCTCCTTAAGTTACACGTGGCACTGTGTTGCATCCCTGCTGTAGCCTCTGTCCCTCATGGCCTCGGAGATTTTTTGAAATGTTTTGGTATTTCATCTTTTGGAGTGTAGTTCTGATAGCACGGATTCCTCTCCCCATACAGCGATCAGATCCAGTACCTCCCGTTCGGTCCATGATGGAGCTCTTTTTCGATTCTGGGACTGCATGGTCACCTGTGCTGATCAGCTCGCCTGGTCAAACAGGAAATGAGATTCAAAAGTTCCCAGGGCTTTTCCTGTACATCTGGCCAGTGCATCTGAGTTCAGCGTGCTGTCCAGAGCGGTCACAATGGTGCACTGTGGGATAGCTCCCGGCGGCCAATACCTTTGAATTGCGTCCACACTAACCCTAATTTGAAACGGCAGTGTCGATTTCAGCGCTAATCCCCTGCTTGGGGAGGAGCACAGAAATCAGTTTTAAGAGCCCTTTATGTCAAAAAAATGGCTTCGTTGTGTGGACATGTGCAGGGTTAATTTGATTTAACGCTGCTAAATCCGACATAAACTCATAGTGTAGACCAGGCCTCAGAGAGGTGGATTAACTACATTGACAGACAAACCTCTTCTGTCAATATAGGAAGTGTAGAAATATCTGTTGATATAGGAAGTGTAGACTATAACTTTGCCACTGTAGCACCTGTTGTGTAGATATATCCTCAGGACATGAAATTTTTCACAACCCCAAGCGATGTAGCTAGGTTGATCTAATTTTTAAGTGTAGGCAAGGCCTCAGACCTCTTACTAAGATTTCTCATACTGAAGCAGACCATTGATCCATCAAGTCTAGTATCCAGCAGTGGCCAGTGTAGTCATGTTTGAATCTGGCTATTAAAAATTGGATCCTGATCTCCTGCAGCCTTGCACCTTATGGAGTCCTCCAGACCTGTGCAAAGTGGGTGACTATCACTGCACCTGAATGGTGGCATCTTACTTCCACTTTGCAGAGGTGAAAGCAAGTACTCAAGGTGCAAGGCAGTTGTGAATCTTAGCTTTAATAATTCAGAGCAAAGTGGGAGGGAAATCCATAACTTACCTAGCTGACTCTGTAGCATTTTAGAGAGAGGAAAAATAATTCCTGACAAACAGCAATCTACTTATGCCCTGAAGCATGACATGTTGTTACCCTTATCTTTGATCAGAGACTTTGCCCTCCATGAAAATAGAACAGATAAGTACTGCTCTGTGGGGTGCCAAATATGCAAGCAGAGAAAACTAAGTTTCTTTCACTTGCTTCCTTTCTGTAAAGTGTCTTGACTGTCTTTGCCTGATGAAGTGACATCTGATGTGAAGTGACATCTGATCTGAAGTGACATCTGATGAAGTGAGCTGTAGCTCACGAAAGCTCATGCTCACATAAATTGGTTAGTCTCTAAGGTGCCACAAGTACTCCTTTTCTTTTTGCCTGGGATGTAGTTTCTACCCGAGACAGTTTAAAAGAAATACACAAACTGATACTTAGGGAATGATTTTAATGAGATTTCTCCTTTCTCAGTGAGAGAAACTGCCATTCGCACACTGATGTCCTAAGACTCCTGACAATATTGTAATGTGGTGCACCTACAAAAATGCCATCCCTTAGGCTGTGTCAAGCCCTGTGTTCAAGACTTGTGTGGGTGCAGAGAGCAAGACTGAAGAACAGGGGGCTACTTATTTATCCTCTTAAATGGGGTACACTTTCTCATTCCTATAAGTAAGAAGAGAAGCACCACCACTTGGCAAACAGATTTAGGGTTGTCTTCACAGCAGTTAGGCCAGGTCTACATTACAAACCTATATCGGTATAACTACACCCCTGAACGACACCATTATACTGACCTAACTCCCCCATGTAGACAGCACTGTAATGATTTCAGAGAGCGTGGGCTACATTACAGTTAGGAATTATTTAGGTTAGTCGATGCTAAAGAAAACTGGGGAGAACTTTAGAGAGGACTTAGGTGAATAGGCAGCATGGTGGTAGATTACATTAATTGTTAAAAATGCAAAATAATGCAAATTAGAAGGAATAATCTGAATGATTCATACAGATCGCTGAGTTCTAAATTAACTGCAACTACTCAAGAAAAAAACCTGGCCCTCATTGTGGATATTGTATTAAAACGTCTTTTTTAAGTGCAGCCATGGTTAAAAAAAAAAAAGGGTTCGGTTGCATAACAAATAGGGTAGAAAATTGTTTACTAGAAATACTATAAGGCCATTGCAAAAACCGATGGTCTCTGCATTGGGAGTTTTCTAGGGAAAGTTTTGTTTTTAATCATTTTGAAACGGCAAGGCTGTCACCTCCTCAGCCCAAAGTTTAGAGATTATAGGATAACAGGGAGTAGGACTTCCTCTTAGCCAATAACAAAGCCAGGAGTTTAAAAAGTGTGCTGTGGCCTGATAATCAAAGGGAGTGAAGCCAAAGGGGGCTGGGCTTGTAATGGCATTCCTAAAAACTGCTGTTCATGGAAGGTAAAGTTTGCCAGTTTCAGGATATTTTCCATTGCCTGAATAACCCCGAGCCCTGCCACAGTGCAATCCAGTTAATAACACAGGCAGGAGGAGGAAATGAAAACCATCTCTGAGGCTGACGCACTTGCCACATACATCATGCCCCTTCCAAACATGTTATTTAGATATTTAACTAAAGATTGGATTTAAAAACATTTGGTTTAAAAAAGTAGCCAGTTAATCTATAACTGTGGCAATAGTTGATGAAAGTCCATAGGGCTGACTTGCAGGCAAGTTGCATATTTTTTTAACTAAAGCCACAGTATATTTACTGGTCTCAGAGTAGCAGCTGTGTTAGTCTGTATCCGCAAAAAGAACAGGAGGACTTGGGGCACCTTAGAGACTAACAAATTTGTTAGTCTCTAAGGTGCCCCAAGTCCTCCTGTTCTTTTTGAGTATATTTACTGCCATGGTTTAGCCTTTTCTGTCCTCCTGTATCTAGAGTTTAAAAATAAATTCAAGTTGATACGCCTTCATCTTGCAAAATAAGGTAGGATTTCAGTGCCTGGGGAAAAGGAATAAAGCAAGCACTTCCCAGCATTTTCCAGGCAGGATTTCCTTATTTGACAAGCTGCACTTGGGAAGGAAGTTGGACACTAAACCATAACAGGGGACAATCAGTATCTAGTGCAAAACAGCAAGCATAAAACTGAAGAGCGAAGTTTTTTTTTAAAAAAAAGATCAATATTTCGGTGTTGCCAAATCTCAAAATAATTGTCGTAGCTGGGTAGGTCCCAGGATAAGAGACAAGGTGGGTGAGGTAATCAGAAAAAAACTTTTCTCGGGAAAAACGTCCTAACAGTAAGAACAGTAGGACAATGGAATAAGCTACCTAGAGAAGTTGTGGAAACTCCTTCACTGGAGGTTTTCAGAAAGAGGCTGGATAGCCATTAACAAACCCTGCGTCTTGGGAGGGGGTTAGACTAGTGTAGTTCGAAAGCTTGTCCCTTCCACTAAAGGCAGTTGGTCCAATAAAAGACACTACCTTACCTATCTTGTCTCTTTCCTGTCCTGGGATCAACAAACATACAACAACACTGCAGTAATAATGGTTAGCACTTTAAGACAAGGGACAAACAATGATATACTCACATTCCTTATATTACTTCTGAAGCCAGATATGTTTTGTTACTCCCATTTTATAGATAAGGAAACAGAGACACCAAGAGCTTGAGGTTTGCCTAAGGCTGCATGGCAAAACATAGGGAGAGGCCTGGCAGGCAGTGGGATTTTCAGCCATACTAACTACCCATGTAGCTGCCCAAGTGCTAACTAGTGTAGACAGATAAAGCTACTGTCTGCGCCAGTGTGAGTGAACTAGGATAATAGTATAGGTGAAAATCATGACTTACAGTGGCTTTGCCATCTACAGCAGGGGTTTGCATTGGCACAGCTACGGAGGCATCTGTCCACCCATGGCTGTGATCATGGCAAACCTCTTGTGCAAACAAGGCCTAAGAATATGGATCGTTTAATGCTACCTGTCAATATTTCTGCCTGAGCTGGTCTAACTCTTTTCTTTGCAAAGCCACATTGTTTTGCTGTCTCCTTATGGATTGTGGATTGATACTGTATCACCTGGTTAGGAAACTTTAGGGGTGGGAATTGCAAAGCTGAAAATGTTGCAGTTTAATCTTTCTGAGGCAAATTCAAGATAGAAATTGCTTTATAATGCCTGGGGATAGTAATCTCAGAAAGATAACCAATGGCTGCAGGCTGCAATCAGCCAGGAAAACTAGCTCTTCAGGACAGTTAGGTTGCAAAACTACCTCCATGACCAACTCAGTTAAAACAAAAAGAAAAGGAGGACTTGTGGCACCTTAGAGACTAATAAATTTATTTGAGTATAAGCTTTCGTGAGCTACAGCTCACTTCATCGGATGCATTCAGTGGAAGATACAGTGGGGAGATTTATATACGCAGAGAACATGAAACAACGGGTGTTACCATACACACTGTAACGAGAGTGATCACTTAAGGTGAGCTATTACCAGCAGGAGAGCGAGGGGGTGGGGGGGAGAACCTTTTGTAGTGATAATCAAGGTGGGCCATTTCCAGCACTTGACAAGAACGTCTGAGGAACAGTGGGGGGTGGGGGTGGGGGTGGGGAAATATCTCCCCCCCCCCAACCCCCACTGTTCCTCAGACATTCTTGTCAAGTGCTGGAAATGGCTGAATGCATCCGATGAAGTGAGCTGTAGCTCACCAAAGCTTATGCTCAAATAAATTTGTTAGTCTCTAAGGTGCCACAAGTACTCCTTTTCTCTTCTAACAAGGAACTTTACTAGTGTTAGGAAAACAGCATTTTCCCTAAAGCTACTTTCTGTTTCACTATACAGCATTCCTAATTTTTCGCCTGCCGAATTTCCTGCTATAGTTTTAAGAAAACAGAACACAGATTCTCATTGTAACAGGGTGTGTGCTGGCCCATTAAATCAGGCTATAGGTCAGAGGTGGGCAAACCATGGCCCGCGGGCCACATCCAGCCCGTGGGACCCACCTGCCCAGCCCCTGAGCTCCTGGCCCGGGAGGCTCACCCCCAGCCCCTCCCCTGCTGTTTCCCCTCCCCCACAGCCTCAGCTCACTGCACCGTTGGCACAGTGCTCTGGGCGGCCGGGCTGTGAGCTCCCGGGGCAGTGCAGCTGCAGAGCCCGGCCTGACCCGATGCTCTGTGCTGGTCGGTGTCATGGCTGGCTCCAGCTGGGCGGCACGGCTGTAGCATCGCCAGCCTCAGGTGCTCCAGGCAGCACGGTAAGGGGTAAGGGGGGTTGGATAGAGGGCAGGGAAGTTTGAGGGGGTGGTCAGGGAGCGGGGGTGTGGATAGGGGTCGGGGCAGTCAGAGGGCGGGGAACAGGGGGGTTGAATGGGGGCAGGGATCCCGGGGGGACAGTCAGGAATGAGAGGAGGGGTTGGATGGAGGGGTGGGGGGCAGTCAGGGGACAGGGAGAAGGGGTGGTTGGATGGGGCAGGAGTCCCAGGGGGGCCATCAGGGGGCGAGAAGCGGGGGGGGGTTGGATAGGGGTCAGGGGCCAGGCCACGCCTCGCTGTTTGGGGAAGCACAGCCTCCCCTAACTGGCCCTCCATACAATTTTTGAAACCCGATGTGGCCCTCAGGCCAAAAAGTTTGCCCGCCCCTGCTATAGGTCAATTACTGCCCATGCCCGGTTCAGCATGTAATGAGGGAATTCTGGGGAATGTAGTTCAGAGAGGCTGATGGGAGATGTAGTGCAGACATGTGATGAACAGCAGGTGATTGCAAGACTATATAATGCAGATCTTTGGTTAGTTTTAGAAAGACCAGGGAGAGGTCAGACTTAGAGTAGAGGGAAAAGGTCTGGGAGGAGGCCTAAAGACAGGTAAGAAAAGAACAAAGAACTCTAAGGAGGGGTAAAGAATATGAAGGAAAAGGCCTGGGATGACATACATGAGTGTGGGCTTGAGATCTGGTGTTGGTATGTGTGCTTGGGCAACCCACTGGTGAGCATGCATTACAGGTTCCCCTCAGCGTCTAATCCATGGAAAAGAAGATTCCATTGTAGATGTTCCCTGTCCCCTCCTCCAGCTCTGGAGGTTCCCACTCTATCCCTAGTGTGTTGGCCAAGATGGCAGCTGCCACAGTTGTTTGGTGGCCTTCTGTTGAAATTTCCAGTGAGTGTGGCAGGAGGTCCCCTCTTGATCCCTTCCACTGACAGAGGTGAAAGTTGCGGCCTGTGGAGAACCAAAGAAGGAGTCGTTTAGCCTGAGGTGGGCCAAGAATCTCTTTAGCCCTGGGTCAATGAGGCAGTAGACTGCTAAGCCCAGGAAGGTTGAAGTGTTTTGTTTTGGACTCTTTTGGTTGTTCTGGAGAGCCAAACCACTAAAAAGCAACCAACCTAACTGACCCTTCTACAAAAGGGAGATTGAAAATCTGAGGAGAAATAGAGACACCTGAATCTGAGCTTGTGATCCACCAACAGGAACCTGTCTCCTGGAGTCAGGCCCCTTAGATGCTGGGTTAGAGGGGGGGGGCCGGCGGAGATACAGAGACAGCCCCCACCACAAAGGGCCCACCCCCCCCACAACGGGGCGAGCCCCACCCCCCCCCCCCCACCCACCACCCAACCCAAGAAAAACACCCGCGCCCCCAAGTTGGGGGGTTGTTTCTCCTCTCCACACAACAGGGGGGGGGAGGAGCGCCCCAGAAAGCAACACACAAAAGCCGGCAGGGGGGGGGGGGGGGCCCCCACCCAACCAAAGGGAAACCCCTCAAAAAGGAGGTTTCCCAACCCCCCCCCTCTCTTGTGAGGGAATGAGTCTGGCTTGCTCCTGGGTCAGCCCCTTAGGCCTTAAGCTTTGTGAGGGAATGAGTGGGGCACTTGCCTTGGCTGGAGAAGGTGATGCCTGCCTTATAACAGTCAGCCCAGTGGTTAAAGTACTCACCTGGAATATGGGAGACTCAGGTTCAGTTCCCTTTCACTACAACAAGGGGAGAAAGGATTTGTACAGGGGTCTCCCATTTCCCAGCTGGGTGCCCTAAACACCAGCCTGTAGAATTCAGAGTAGCAGCCGTGTTAGTCTGTATACGCAAAAAGAAAAGGAGGACTTGTGGCACCTTAGAGACTAACCAATTTATCTGAGCATAAGCTTTCATGAGCTACAGCTCACTTCATCGGATGCATGTAGAATCACACTCTTTCCCACCCAATGGCTATGAAAGTATTAATCCACAGTGGAACAGTCATTGGGGGTGAGAGATTGACTCTGTTGTTGTTTAGGGCACCCGCCCAGGAGGTGGGAAACAGCAGGGTCCAGTCCCCCTGCTCCAGTCACTCGTTCGTTATTGCTCCACAGTGGAACAGTTTCAAGGAGAGAGACTTAGTGAGCCCCATATTAGAACATCCCATAGCCCAGTGATTAGAGCATTCTCCTGAGACATGAGAGACCACTGTTCTTTCTCCCCATCAGGCAGAGGGGGAAACTGAACCTGGGTCTCCCACATCCTAGGGGAATGCTCTAACCACTGGGATACAAGCTGTAACATGAGCACTTCCTCTTGCCAGATTATGAATGGGACCCAGTTTAGTGAGCAGCCTCTGAGCATGCCTTCTCTGCACGTAAGATAGACATTCGTCTATCTGTGAATCGCTATGGAAGATAGACAATTGGACACTTAGAAGGAGGCAGCAGTGTGCATGCCCAGAGGCAGAAATTTAGGCACTGGGGGAAATTCTACCATGAAATCTGAGTTGCCCAAGTGAGTTTAGGTGCATAAAGGGTTTGCTGCAAATTTTGTGGATTGCACTGGAGCCTAAAACTA